GCAATACCTCAAATGCTCGAAATATTTAAATTTATCCAAATTACCCATTCCCTATTGCAGACAAGCATGTCGGAACCTTAGCGCTGTCACGTAAGCCGTATCTGGCAAAACTGGGATGGTGGGCCCACTCAGGGATACTACTGCTAAAGAGTCCAACATTTCGTTCAAATATAATCCGTGGAGGCCCGGCACCCGTAGCAAATGCAGTTTTTTTTTACGTTTTTCGGTACTAAATGGTGAAACGTAATCATCAGCTCTGCATTTGCTGCCGCAGAAAGTTCCTTACATACTGATAACGAATTTGTAATGATAACTGCTAATGATTCGCTTGAGAGCAATTTGCGTAGGGCAAGAATAATAGCCAATAATTTTGCAATGAACACAGGGGTATAATCTGGGAGTCGATTAGAAAAGGACCAGTCCAAACATGGGGAGAAGATGCCAACCCCAGCCTTTTCTTTTGACACAGATGCATCAGTCGCAATGATATTGCTTATCTTTAGGTGAGCTAGATAATCTGCTAACTGGTCATTTAAGTACCTATGTGCAAATTGTTTTGCGTTGTGAGAAAATATATCATCAAATTGTATGCTAAGCATTGATTTTAGATTGTGTATTGGACCACTATGTTTAATTTTTACATTCAGTTGCTGTATTAGCGCTTGTGCAAATATGATTTGCGGGGTGTGTAGTCGTGACCCAATGTGTTTCGAAAAATAAAGCCGGTTCTTGAATGAAAACGTAAAATGGGAGTTTTTGGTGTTAACTGTATATCTTTAAGAATGCTTGCACAGTAAGAATTTTAAACCTATTTAGCAGAGACGGTAGGCGAGCTTCCATATACAACACGTTATTTGCAACAAACTTTGGTAGACTCAGACACAAACGAAACGCTTCTCTTTCCAGTAGTATTAGGGGTCTCATTTTGTAAGCTGCACTGCCAGAAAATAATACATATCCGAATTCCATGATGGACCGCACATAAAGTTTATATATTATTATTGGCACATCTCTTCTTAAACCAGCTTTACGGTTTGCGAGCTTCCGTAGCCACCCCATGGCCCGTGTTTTCATGGAGTGGCATCATCAATGTGGCTTCTCCAATTTAATGTGTCATTATATAGTATGCCAAAATATTTAAGGGAATTCGCCTGCGGAATGAGCTTATTACTGTATATTATTGAGATGTTGATAGGCTTCAGAAAAGAGAATGCAAGAAGCGCACTTTTCTTTACGCTCAGGGTCATATGAATATTTTTGAGCCATCTTTCTATTATATTGAGATAATTTTGTAGACTCTGGTATAGGGATTGAAGGTCAATATTACTTGCAAAAAAGCAATATCGTCCGCGTACACATATAACTGAATATCTTTAGTTGATGGAATGGAGCTTAAGAAGATGATAAATAAAACTGGTGACAGGAAAGCCCCCTGTGGTAAGCCTTGTGTCTGCTAATATCTATTCGACGAGTACCCATCTTTAAAGCAGCAATATTCTCTCCCTCTTAAAAACTTTGACACCCACGCAGTGATGCAGTTGGGAAGGTGGGGATATTTCACCTGTTTTAATAAAATTGAATGCTCAACCCTATCGTACGCTTTAGCCAAATCTAGAGTAACTAATGCACAGTATTGGCGCCAACGCCAAGCCAGTTGTATTCGGCTCTCTAAATCAACGTGTGCACACCATATTGAGCAACCAGATCTAAAACCGAATGGACTGGGGTTTAATATTGCGTTATAATCAATATATTTCATTACCCGGGCATTCAAAACTCTTTCAATTAGCTTAACCAGATTTGACGTGAGTGATATCGGCCTTATATTGTCCAAGACGAATCCTTTTTCCTGCTTTTTAAGAAGTGGAATCACTTTAGACAGCTTCCATTCCGCAGGTATCCAAGCTTTTGTCAAAGAAAAATTCACCAGAATAAGTACTTCAGTTGGACAAATCTCGAATTTTACTTTTATCATTGCATTTGTTACCCCATCTGGTACAGGTGCCGAAGGAGATAAGTGCCTTATTATCTCTGCCAGCTCATCTAAAGTAACCTCTTCAAAATCCTCACCTGCCATTGGGTTCACAATGTGCAGTGATATAGTTGACATAAATCTATCTTGGAGCCCTTTCGCAATATTTTCTACTAAATCAGAGAGCTCACGGGGTGAAAGAACAGAAGAGTCAATATTTTCAGCGGGTGGTAACATCTTTTGAGATCTTAAAAATCTGAAGAGCGCTGTTTTGTTTTTAGCCCTAGAAAGATAATCATGTCGTTTCATATTATAACCTTGTTTTGCTGTACTTACTGTGCGTTTGAAGTCTGCTGCTGCGAATTTATAATCACACCAATTTTTTGACATTGGTTTACCAGCAGTTGTTTCCATGCAGCTTTCCGTTTTCTATAGCTCCTCATGCACTCTTCAGTCCACCATGGACTAAAAGAACCTCTTTTGGCCGAGTCTAATTTAAAAGTTGCGTCTTTTACTGATCTTTTTAACACTGCACACAGACTCATAGCCCTAATGTCACCTTGTACGTCCTTGCGATCGAAAGTAGCCCTCAAGTCTTTTTCTAATTTTCTATAGTTGAGGAATGAGCGGGCCTTTTCGGCGACATGTATTCTTGGAAAGTTCAGTACAAAACTAATAGGCAAGTGGTCACTGTTAGTAGCCCAGTCTAAAGTTTGCCACGAACATATATTTAGAGATGAGCTTGAAAATTTCAAGTCAATTACAGATTTAGAGAGACCTCGGACAAAAGTAGCAGATTGCGAAGTTAAACAAGATAAATTCTTGTCAATAGCCCATTCCCACAAGCGTTTTCCGCTTAAACCTGTTTTAAAACCCCAAGCCACACGATGTGAATTGAAGTCTCCAGTGATTATTATATCCTTTCTGCAGGCAGAGAACATATCGTCTAGACTTCGTGTGCCTTGCGCCCCGGCTGGGAAATAAGCATTTACAAACGAGAAGGGAGAACCGGCGGGTAATATTATGTCTACTGTCAAAATTTCACAATCTGGAGTCACACAACGATAAGAGATCGTAGCTTTGTGACTAAACTTAGTTGCTATCAAGACAGCAAGCCCACCACCTCTGCTAGGTCGGTCCAATCGAAATAGCCGATAATGTTTTAGGTAAAACTTCTGGCTGGTTGAAAGCCAGGTTTCTTGCAGTGATATAATATCCGGGGAAAGTTGTGAAGAAAGGTATGATAGTTCTGTGGCTGCGGAAAATATAGATCTGCTATTCCACTGTAATATGGTTAGTGAACCTATGTTGACGATAGAACCGTCGCAGAAACTGCTTGGTCCAAAATGTCCTTTCACAAAAAGTCTTTCTTGGACATGTTCTCAAAGAAGTCTTTTTTGGATAGATACTTTTTAGATTTCGAATTATGCAAAAAGTTTTTTGATTGGGGAGATCGGGTTCGCTTCAGAGCCTTATGAGAGTCCATATCCATATCTGCACACGCTTCCGAATCATCCGTAAGAATACCGTCTTCCGTTGTTTTGGAAGTCCCTGCCTCAGGAGAAACCGCTCGCTGACGTGTTGTCGCACTTTCTGTTTCCGTACGCTGCGATACCGATGATGTCTGAGGAGCCCAACCGTTCGTAGATGCTACACCTAGAATTTGAGATAGTTGATTGGAAACCAAAAAAGTTGAAGTGGCGCCATCTCGTGGCATCCAATCGAAAACGGGACGCCTGTGCGAAGCTGTTCGTGCCACTACATCTCTTTTATTTCACTCAAGCACACGGCTTTAGCTTAGCTTGGAACGTCCATTAGATGCACTGGTATCGGCTCTACGGTATTGATCTTCACTACGAATGAGCATCGGGGCAAATAGCATTAGAAAACACTACTTTCAGAAATGCAAGTGAGATGCCCTTCAGTCGCTTTGAATGTCCCGTTATGTTTACTGAAACGAGCGAATTTTTGGAGAACGCAGATGCCGCCGGTGGCCGTAAAGTACTAGCGAAGATAGGCTAGAGAGCTCGAACTGCTCTATTGTTTTTTTTCAATTTGGCACATTTACATGCACACATACAAACGTACGCACGAACATACATGAAGATATGACTGACCCCCCCCCCCCCCCCCGCTCCTATATGAAAAAAAAAATACTTATGCTGCTACCGTGAAAGCATTTGGGGGGGGGGAAGGGGGGGGGCAAAATAGGAAGTCATGAGAGGTTCCGCCCAGATGACCGAACCGCAACAATCGATCGCTTTCGAAACCAAATAAAAAAGATACGCGTGTTCCCGCTTAAGCACTCGGTAATGTTCTCCGAGTCTGAAGGCACTGGCCATCAGGTTCATCTGTATATTGTGTGCCTATTGGTTCAGGCTTGTGTGAATCTGCCTTTGAGAAAATACAACAGTTTTATAACCTTGTACCCAACTATAAGTGTGTCAAATCGTAAATCCCATGAGTACGTGTCAATGCTCTGCGATCATAGGTCGTCAAAACTTGTGCATTTCACTCAGATTCACTCATGAAATATATTTGAACTTTGCACTCACTCGGACTCATACTCACGGAAACTTTCTCAAATCGGACTTCACTCGGACCAAAACATCGCTCACCCCGACTCACTTATGGCTCCATTTGAGTCTAGAATGAGCATCTTCGACCACAGTGTCAATGCTCTTTAACACCAATATCTCATTCAATCGATGCTCTTCTTGGCGCTGTTGGTCATGGTATCTTCCACGAGGTCGGAGAGCTTGAAAACCAGTAAGGTCATATTGAACAGGTAGGTCAACAGGTGGCCCTCGTAGATGCAGCTTGGGTGAAAAGGCTGTGGTGGTCGACAGCCAGAAAGAGGTACAGGACGCCCTGACTTTATACTCACTAAGCGCTCCACGGTGGCGGAGCAAGCCGCAATTGCTCTAGCTATCAGGAACAGAAAATGGTCATACGTTTATAGCGACTCCAAAGCAGCAATTACGAGCTTTGACGGGAGTTATGTCGCTGGGACTGCGCTTAAACTTACGTACAAAGTCAAAGCTATCGATACGGAAATCTGATGGTTTCCTGCGCATATCGGTCGAGTGGACGAGACTCGGGTCAACCTCAACGAGATGACGGATGACCTGGCACGAGGACTCGCTTGCCGTGCCGGTCAGAGCCGACCCGATGTCCACTACCATTCCGGGGATCATAAAGATAATGTAATGACGTGCCACGATATCATAAAATATTATTACTTGGGTCGTTGGCGATTCTCACTGCCACACGTGAAGTTGAACAGAGCTCATACAGCCACGCTACATTTATTGCAAACCGGAACTTACCACCATCCGTATCTTCTAAACAAAATTCTCCCTGAAAGTGAAACTCAAGAAGAATGTGACGCATGTGATGACATCATTGGAATCAGATGCATGCTGACGAGCTGTCCCTCGACTCTCGCTGGCGTCGAAGAAAAATGAATTCACTGGCAGAAGATGGTGCAAAGCGCATCTTGTCGAGATCAGTTACGAGTGGCCTGACGGTACCGACGGGGTGGCCCGCCTCGGTCTGAAAAGACCGGGATACAGGACAATAATAAAGTATTGTAAATTAATGAACAACAGCATAAGATATATTTATCAAGGAATTATCTGGAAAAGTTGGTAGGGGTGGGCGTTGGGTGGGGGGTCGAGGACACACTATTTGTAATTCGTGCCTGTGATGAATAAATATTGAAATGGCGTATAAATGACTCTGATTTTGAATACTTGTGAGTAGAAGCTAGTATAAACGTTATTCCAAGCAAGGCTGATTGTAATGCTGAAAATGACTAGATAGGAGTCTGTGATACACCGTTACACCTACACATGCAAAGTCACAATTCGACAGCGGATGGCTCTGTATAATACCTTTTTATTTATGGCACGCTAATGTCCCAACTTTCGCTCCATAGAGCATCATACGCACAGAAGAGAGACCACAGTCAAGTGATGTTATGACCTCCTCTAAACTGCACACAGGTGCAAGGCCGTAACTAGGGGGGAGTTAAGGTGGTTCTCATAACCCTCCAAAAGTTTTAATGATGTAACTTTGAGGGTGATACTAAAATCTTTACACATCTTCACATCGATCCACAGTTGCCAAAGTAGTTAGCCGTTGTACACGTACCCCCCCCCCCTCCCCTCACCCCTCCAAAAAATTCTATGGTTACGCTCCTATACAGGTGAAATCGTTTTGTTTGCTAATAGACAAATATATTCAATTTCTGACACGTTGTGGGTAGTATGGTGGTGCTCCAAGATTTATTTTAGTTTAAAAAAAACGGCATCATTTTTGCAGTCATGCCTGCGACCAGGTGGTTACAGTAAAAGAAAATAAAATATTATACCGGGATTTGAAACACATGAGTACGTGTATGGAAAGGATGTGAGACGTTCGGAAGACATTAATATTTCATAAACAGACAGTGTAAGGGTGCATTTTAAATCCAACGTGAAAATGTAGTTAACATTAAACATATATAGGAGGTCTGTTGTAAGGCTGCTCGCGGTCAACACGGAGTAAGCACAATCTGCTTCGACAAACGACTGAGAATTAAACTTATTAAGGGCGCTTTCTAAATAGGAAAAAATAAGGGTAAGCAAAGGTTGACGCGAGCATGCCTGACGTAGTGGTTTCTTTCTTTCTTTCTTCCTTTCTCTCTTCTTTCTTTCTTTCTTTCTTTCTTTCTTTCTTTCTTTCTTTCTTCTTCCTTCCTTCCTTTCTTTCTTTCTCTCTTTCTTTCTTTCTTTCTTTCTTTCTCTTGACTTGGTAGCAACGGATTGATCGTCCTGGATTACTTAGCGTTCACTTGTGTTCAAGGCTGTCCACTTTCGTGACATTGTGCCCTGGTCTAATGACAAACTCTACAGCTTTCGTTTGTTCGTGCTCGAAAGAATGTTTTATGAATGTCACCGTGCTTAAATTGACCGCGTTTTCTGCAGGGTAGCCGCAGTCTCTGCTCTTACCGCTATGCTATCATGCACACGGCGGCTGTTCTCGTGACTGCTTGCATGTCGTCGTCCCCTGGCGGCACCTTTTATTTGATTCTTCTTTCATTTGAACATCGCCAAGCAGGTCTTCGTTGTTTATAAAGTTGACTTTACCGTGTTTTTCGGGTGGTAAACGTGAACCTTTGCATGTTCTGTATGTTTTGATTTTTGGCTCCTCGCCAGAGTATTTGTCTTTCTGCCTGGTAGCGCGCTTTGCATCGATGAGACCGTGTCTTTCATAATCTGTGCATTTTTTTGTAAGTGGCCTCATTTATTTGACAGTTTCTGCAACCGCTTCAAAAGACCAATATAAGCAGGCAAGTTAAGCGGCTGTGGCATTAGCAGGCAAGTCTGGTGTCGGCGCAGTCGCTTACCATATATACCAATCAGGGTCTGCTCCAAGTAAGTTGATCACCGATGCAGGCACTGCGTCACCGTTTTTTTGTAGGTGTTTTAAGACATTGAGCTATCATCTTTGTTGCGACTTCACACATTTAATGAGCTCACGTTGGTTGTTCTTGGTACCGTTGGTGTCACACTGGCGGTTCGTATTGCCATAGGCGCATTTCTAAAGATTTTCTGACTGCAGTAATTTGTACATCACTATGTAGTACAGAGACAGCTAGCTGTCCTTGCTCCTTGGCTTTGTCTACTAGACTGCACAGTATACCCTGAAATGGGTTCTTGAAGAATGCACTTTGCGAGGTGACTAAAATCTGCATAGTTCGTATAAAAAAACTGAGGCATTGCTGTTCTTAATTAGCATTTTGCATGCCGCATTTATAGTTTTTTGTGTTTAAATTTTATTCGTACAACAGTAACAACAACAAAAAAACATTCGTAAGTGTCGCATGGGACCATAGAACGACCACGCCTATATGACGCACACATATGACGAAGCGTCGTGAGCACTCGAGGCTGACTTCATGATGACCGCATGGCTTTGTGAACCTCCGGTGAAACGACTCAGTCAGTCAGTCAGTCAGTCAAGGAAGTTTATTTGTTCCTGAGAAGACAAGAATTTCCCCATCAGGGGGTACCGTCTGGGGGCCCCACCAACGATGGCACCGGGAGGGTAAAGCTCTCGGCAACTTCGCGGGCACTCTGGACAGCCCTTAGCTGCTGGTCCTTTGTGGAGCTGGTGATAAGCTGGAGCCAGTCTTCCTCAGTGAAGGGAGACCCTGAGCCCCCGTGCAAGTCGTGACACTGCCACAGCATGTGCTGGAGAGTGCACCTCGGATGACCACTGCGTGGGTCTGTTCCGTCTGCGAATTTTGACCAAATAAACGGACACGGATGCGTGTTTGTTTGTAACATTCGCAGGGTGATTGCCTGTGGTCTGTTTAGGTGTGGGTGTGGAATCGGAAACTTCCTACGCCCTAGCCGATAGTGCTTACGGACCTCGACTCGTGCTAGAAAAACCGCTACGGATTGCGCGCTTTGGAGGTTAATTACAACGATTGTGAGGAACCTACGTAGTCGACGGCATCATCATCAGCCTGCCTTATGTCCACTGTAGGCCGAGGGCCTTTCCCAATGACCGTCAATCCACTCTGTCCTGCGAGAGCTTATTGCATTAGTATGCCACCACTTTTTTAAAAATTTGTCACATTACCTAACCGTTTGTCGTCATCGGTTGCGCTTCCTCCCGTCTATTACTATCCACTCGGGCCTTCTAACTGTCCATCTGTTATCCGTCCTTTTAATCACCCCTCCTGCCGAAATCCATTTCGGCTACCCTGGCCCAATTGTCTTCTGATCCACTTTGCTGTCTACCTAGCAACGTCCAGTTTTGATGCCACGTTGCCGTTGTGCCGTCGTTACACCCACGCAGAATCACGCATGTCAGTTATAAGCATATTCCTGATAGATAGGCGTAAATCTACATAGTTGTAACGATGGCAAGAGGAAAAACATAAAATAAAAACCGGACCGTGCTTCAATTGGGTCGGTTTGAAGTGTATGCTATTTGAAGGTTCGTGCTCTTAACTGGGCAGCTTTCAAGCGGAGTGTCTTCAAAAGTGGTGTTCGATCCCCCCTCGCCCTTTTTTTTCGCAGATGCACGTGAAAGAACGTGGCGTGGTACGCGCGGCAATATGGCTTGTTTCGCTTACAGGCTTCCTTTGGCAGACGAGCATAATCTTGAAGATGTATTTCCAGTACCCATTCTCGGTTACAGTCGTCGAAGAGCTGCAGAAGGGAATCATGTTCCCAGCACTTACTCTCTGCACCGAAAACTGGCAAGTCCTCCTAAGAAGTTCTTTGCTTTCGTAGTCCTCACCTGTAGATCAGAGGACGGCTACTTTTTGAGGCGGACGGCAGAGTTGATGAAACCGAGAGTTGTTGTTCTCCCCTGCACACGGCTCGTACCCAGTAGAGGGAGGGGATTGACCAAATATAACGGGGATTTTCTTGATACTTTCCGCATTGATTCATTCTTAGGAACGCTAATTAGTTAGAACCGAGAGTTCATTGTGAACAAGTCTTCCTTCCGTATGCGAGCCGAAACGTCGTTTTCTTTTAAGCTTTTGTCTGGTTGGTGTACTTCGTTCCCTTCATTAGGGCCGAATTGAGTAAGCCGACACGTCGAGGGCTTCAAGGCATATCGGGGGAGGGGGGGGCTGCAGTCAGAGAGAGAGAGAAAAAGACTTGGCGAATAGACAGTAATGTAGAAAACTGGAATATAAATGGCATCTTTATTTTTATCTCCCATGTCACGAGGTTGCAAACAACGAACAAAGGTTACAAGCGAAAACCCCGTTTGAGTTCAAAACTTCCATGTCAGTTTTCAGATGGGGAGTGAGAAGGGTCACTTAAATTAATCAAATCTTTATTCGCAATACAGGAGGAGGTCCCATAGAACATTGCTGAAAGGGTACAGCTCCCCTCTGAGCAATGTGCCATGAGACATCTTGTCAGAAAGTTAAACGGTGATGAATACAAAAAGAAAATCAAAGAAAGCAATGTTAAGTAATTAGTCATAACAGTGGAAACTATAGTAATTATAGATTACATCGGAAAATGCATTGGTTTCTTTCTCCTATCACGTGCGAGCCAAATGTCGACGGAACTACCTGCAGCGGTGGTCTACTGGTAATGTGGTGCTCGCCTGCTGACCCGCAGGTGGCGAGATGAGATCCCGACCAAGACGACCGCCTTTTCGAATT